CCATATATATCTTACTCAATTATTTCACGAAAAAAATCTGCAACACAGCTTGTAAAATAAATCAGGCTAATCTAATTTAATGTGTAATCGACCAACTTCAAGTGCCGACCAAAATTAAGGGCTGGAACCGAGGTTCCCCCCACTCATACATCAAAATCCAAGAGGCATGGAGCAGCAACCACAACAACATCAACATCATAACTCAAGCTGAGATTTCTAGATCTTCCAACAGCGATTACCAGCGAAGAAATAAAATAAAAACACAAAAAAAATGGCTGATTCGCTGAAAATTCGATGACAATTAATTACAGTTACGCGCGAGGCGTGAAAATGGCCAAAGGAAGAAAAAGCGGAAAGAAGAAGATGAAGAATCGCTGGCGAAAATAAGGCGGCATAAATAAGCGTCAGCAAATTATAAATTAATTCAAACGCATTTAATGAAGAAAAACACCAAAGTAAACGGAAGGCCGAAGAACACTGTGAGAAAAAGTCAACGATTTTCGCTTATGACGTATTTACTTTGCATTGAAATAAAATAATTTTGTAAGATATTTTAACTTCCTTTAGAATAAAAAAATACATTGCAATGCTAAATAATAAAATAATTGAATTCTACCACGAAAAAAATTCTAAAAAGAATTCGAATTCATTTTACTATGGCACAACAATTAATAGATAAAGCTGAACTTAACCTAATAAATTGGTTTATTTTCTTTAAAATTTTCCTTATATTAACTAATGCATTTTCTTTTCGAAATTCTCTGTCAAAATAGTTTGATGCCAATGGGTAGCTTAAACCGCATAGAACGATTCTATCTTCATGTATTTCCATAAATTTGTGCAAAATGAATTTGGCCAGAGTTTTCCATGGTCAGTTCGTTCAGTGTTTTGGGGAAGACGTGAAAGACGGCGCGGACTCGCCAAATGCAAATTCCGTCCGAAACTAAACAACGAACCGAAGACCGCGCCAAGGACAAAGGACAAAGGACGAAGAACGAAGTAAAAGGGGGCGAATTCGGATTCGGATTCGAGGGGAAAGGGGGAGTGGCAGCAGAGCCCACAGAGCACACAGCTCAGTCAGACGTTTGAATTAAATAAATGAAATACATAAATAAAAACAGATGAGCTGTTGCCGTCGCTGCCACAGAAGTTGGCCAAAAGGGAAGCGACCAAAATAAACAGCGGAACAGCGGAACAGCGGAATGGAATGGACGGGGTAGCAAGTTGGAGGGAATGACCTGCCTCCAGGGTTCGATTAGGAGCTACCCTGCAGGAGTCACGCTGCCGAAACGACCTCTGACCCCGGTCTTTATCTGTTTGGCCATTCGTCCCATTTGGAAGGTCAGCAGAGCAATTGGGGAGAGAAAACGTTGAAATAGTCAGGAAAAGTCTCATTTAAGTAAGTTTATTATTGCCTTAATTGGGTTTTGTTCATAATTATATTCTTCACCTTAACATGGAATATGAGGTTCACTATGTGCTTATTTCTTTAACAATTTAACCAATACAAATATTTTCATTTACTTTTGGTATATTATCACTCTAGATTTTCTTAAGCTGGTATGGTAAGCTTTATTTCCTAATGAAGCGCAAACTAATTATAATTTTTTTGCCAATAGTATACATGAACAATAAACATGCTAGTTTTAATTGAATCCCTCTTGAGTTGTAAGTCCAATCTACCCCGCATGATGGCCGATTGTTTCTGAAAACACAAACAATTACCAAAAGTAAAAACGCGAGCAAAGTAAGGAACAAATGGCAAAGGAGGTAATGCTTCCCCAACAATAAATCAGTGAAATTGCAGGCGGAATATAATAAGAAATGAGCCGCCGGTTGGAATGAAGGCTTGGAAAAGTCAAACCACAGACATTTTGAGTGTTTCTCTTCTCTTAAGAATTTTCTCTTTGAAAAAGTGTCGAGAATTCGGCACAATTAAACAAATAGAAGCAATATGGTCAAAGGCAACTTTAATAAATATAATAATAATAAATAATTGTGACAAAGGCTTACCAAACTCGCCATCAGTGAAGCTCTATAATAACAACAACACTTTAGAGGATTTTTGTTGGAACACATTTTTTATCTCCCCCACATCCACAGTTTTGAAAACATGTCGCGACAGCTTCCATTAAATTTATCGGCTTAGCTGACAACCATTTTCCATCTAAATTCATTTTGGCCTCTAACACTCAGCACAAATAAACAAAAGCTTTTGCCAATTTCAAATATGAAAAGCCAAAGCAATCGAATTGGAAGCGATAATGACAACGCAGCAATTTTAGCGCTATTTATTTACACGTAGATATTTTGTTTGTACAGAGAAAACTCGTATACAAGAAAGTGTTAAACAAAATGAATTTTAAATATGGAAAATACATTTAAAGCAAAGATAAGTGTATTTTACATGTTAAGAGGAGAACATTAGTCTTTTGTATGTCATTGTTTAAAAAGAAAAAAACAAAAGAATAAATAAATATTTAAACAAAGATATTAATAGAATTAACATTTTCAAAATAAGTTATTTCGTTTTAATGTTTTAATGGCAATCTTAAATAAAAGAATTTACCAGCTGTTCTCTGAAAATCTTCTTACTAAATTTAATAGTTACCCGTACTGAAATATAAATACCTGAAATAAAAATGTGGATTTACAAGAAATTCATAAAAAGGCTCGTGCATAAAAGTTGCTTAATCTGATTGTCCACTGTAGCTTTTATCACATACAGTATATAGTATAGATGCGACCGGCAGTAACTCCTGTATGATATCTGCATTCGTGTGGTCGTAAATCGTTTCTGCTCGTTGGATCCGCCTGCTCGCCGCTCAACGCCTGGAATTTATGATACAAAATGCGAAATCTCTTCCATCTGCCGGAGCACCCCTCCCCCTCACCCCTCCCCCTCCACTTACCCACCGCTACCCGATTTGCCACGCCCCCCGCCCAGCTTGCCGCCATATTTGTCAGTTGCAAAATGGCTGCTAGATGGCAAGTCTAACGCTTTTTACGGCTGTCACTTTCTGTTTTGCTGTTACTTTTCAACACATTTTTGACAAAGTCAGCAGAACGACGGACAATGGACGGTGGAGAAAAGCGGGAAAAGGGGGAAAAGCGGAAAAAGGGGGTCGGTCGAACGAAGTGGGAGGAATTTCCCTGAAGCGTCCTATAAATGTTTGTGTATGTGTTTTCAAGTTGAACGCCTTTTGCGTTTGTCCATTTCCTTTCGACTCGCCGCTTTTCCCATTTCCATTTACATTTTCCAGCCAAACGGCTGAAAACTCGACTGGAATTGTTGATAAATACTTTTGGGCTTAATTGCAAAGCAACAGAAAAAAGGTTTGAATTCGAAAAGTACCCCTTAACGTCTGTATTTTGTAGGTTCAAATCTGGAAACAAAACAAACACTGATTAATTAGTTGAAACTACCAATGTTTCAATTAATTAATCAGTGTTTTCACATGAAAAATATAACATAACCTAGGATTATATGATTTTGTTTCCATTGGTTATTATTTATTTCCAAGTGCTAAAAGTAAATATGTACTTTTTATATTTGTATGAACTTTATGAACTTTCCTGCACGGAATACTTTTCCTTTTATTTCCTTTTTTTAAAAGAGACCTCATCCAAATTACGTTTGCAATCTGTGCTATTTTGTAAATGGGTTGTTTGACTTTGAAGTGAAATATAATTGATATTCCTATAATGGACTCAAAGTCGATAATCCCCCGTTTTCCTTTAAGATAGTGCTGCTGCGGGCTGCGATAAAGACGAAATTGAATAGCGAACATTAATCAAGTTTTTACTTGGCCCGAAATTGCTGAAACGGCTGGCTGCCTGCAATTTGCTCACCCGGAGTCCTGCTCCTCGAACCGTAAAGGAAACAAACCGTCTGCCACGCCCCCTTTCCGCTCCGCCTCCGGGCAGAAGAGTCGGTCAGGTGAAAGGCAGTTGAAAGGCTGACTGGCGAATGGCGAAAGGAGAAAGGAGAAAGGCGGCGGCGGCACTTGCAACAAGCGTCTGAACAAATGTTTGTGGCCTGGCCATTAAGTGCTGCAGTGCAGCCGGGGGATCCCGGGCAGTCCGGGGATCCAGATCCCGTCCAGAGCTGGACAACTGTTTAATTATAGCAAAATATTTGCGCAGGCAAATCAATTAAGGTCGAGTCTTGACAGCCACGGCCGCCGGCTGCAGTCCTTAAATGGCAATTGCAGAAATATGAGACTGCCATCGAATCGAAATCAATTGAATCGGAATGCCGGGCAAAAAGTAAAGCGATTGTTTTATGGCCTTTCTCCCCTGAATTGTAATTGCCCGTATTTATGCTACATTTGCCAAGTAAACAAGACCCAAACTAAAGGGGATTCAACTTCTTTGCGAATATTTTTACAGATGGATGTCAACACATCAACCTTCTTGGCTTGTTTCAAATCCGTTCTCTATGAATAACACAGCATTTTACATGTGTTTTCGTTAAATTCAACTAAGTCCCTGTGCTTTAAGTGAAGAAATTGAACATGTGTTAGCAATAGTAAAACAAAGTCCAAGCTGTTTTCCATTTTCCAGTTGAGTAATGTTTTTGTTCAATTTTTCATATGACTAAAAAAGTGATTTGGCTAAAAACATAAATAGCATCATCTGTCCGGAAATTAGATACCTTTCTAAAAACAAGGTAAAGTTCAGCTTTTCGTGGCTTGGACAACCTTATTGTCATAACCAAAACAGGAGGATTAGGTGGTGTCATTGCCTTTTTTTTTGGGACAGACGTCCTTTTTGGCATAAAAATGCCAAGCACCCATACCTTAACGTTTCTCGTTTTTCCGAAAATGTATATATTCTGAAATATATCTGAATAAAAACTGAGCACACACTCTGTGAATATAAAATACATTTGCCAAAAAATTATTTCCTTTTTACAATTGAAAACTTATAAGGTCCCAACATTTTAATCCCATTAAGAATCTTTGATTATTTTAAAAAATAAATGTACGTAAAGTGACTACGCCAAAACATAAAAATTATATTTCTGGTATTTCTTAAACAAAATAGTAATTTTCAAAAAAACATATGAATAAGCTTGCCGTCTCCAATCAGCTCAAATAGCGTTACAAGAAGACGTTTCGAATAACTACGCGGGAAGAAAACATTTTAATAGTTCCGTAGATCAAAGGCACAAAAAGTCGAAGTAAAAATGCCCGGAGTGGCGGGCCGTCGTCTACCAGATTTCTACCAGAAATCGCCCCGTGCCCCAAATGCTCCTCCGGCTCCTCCGCCGGAAGGAGGCAGTCCTGCGCCGAATTCCCGGCTGGAGTCTACGCCGTTGTAGGCGTAGTAGGCCTCTGTGTCGTCCAAACAGGGCTCCCGGAACTGTGGCATGTAGTTGGGCATCGGACAGCTCATCTGGCGAAAGTCACCCATTCCACCACCGCCCATCCGCATGTAGTAAAGTGGATTCGAGTGGTGCTGGTGGGTCTGGTGGTTGTGGTGGTTTTGCTGATGGTTCTGGTGGTGGCTGAAGGGGCTTTGGGGGTTGAGGGGGTGCTGCATCCCCTGGTATCCGGAGGTGTTGGGGTTCAGCAGATCCCCCATCTGGGGATAGACGGGCGAGGTTACCGGCTGACCATCCCAAAAGGAAAGCGCATTCCACACCATTGTGCCGATTCAAAATGAACGGAGTTTTAAATTTTTTCTTTTGTTTTTTGTTGATTTTTACGAGATTTTTCCTTATTTTTTTGTCAATAATTTACTTGAAATTTAGTTAAGCTTTACGATCCGAATAGTATCGAGAACGGGATCCAACTGACTATACCTCTCCCAAAGTCTGGTCACAATGGGGTGACAGTGTTGTCGTGGGTTACTTATATTCGAAGCTATCTTTTTAAGGGGAAATAATCAAGTTCATAAGTAAAGTAAATAAGTTAATAATAATGTTAATATAGGTATGTATGTATATGACTTAAAAGTCTGCCAGTGTGTCCGTATCTACACAAAGTTGTTTAAAGAGTATCTCTTCGAGTCTTTACTGAAAATTCTTTCTTTTTTTGTAATTTTAGGTAGCTACCTTCTTAACACAATTTTCTTTAGATCATTCTAAAACAGACAACAGCTGACATAATCTGATAAATGGAGTCGATGGAATTTTGGTACCCCTTATATCATTATAGCGTAACTAGGTTAAAAATAGGATGAAAACGGAACGAGTGCAGTATTTCCTCGTCCACAACCTCTGGTCACACATTAAAATAATTTTTCTCGCTTGACAGTTCAAATTGACGCAGGAACTCCGAAGAAATTTTAATCATGGATCATACAAAGAACATGATATTTTTGCACAATTTGCCGGATTGCACCAGGGAAGAACTAGAAGCATATTGCAGTCCAATTGGAAAAATTATTGGATCTGTGGTGCTGGGACGACAAGGATTTATCGAGTTTGCCACTGACGAAATGGCCGAAAACGCAGAACTATGGCTCTCTGGATCTATTTTCAAGTCAAAAATGATTTTCGTCTGCAATGCGAGCTCGAGATCGAAGGTGGCTGATGCCCTGAATAACGCGTTCGAAGTGGATGACTAGAATGAGAGGATTAGGTTGGTATTATTAAAGCAGAATACTTTTTTCAACTAAAAGGACAATTAAGCTTACGAAGAGTCTTCTTATAGGTTTTCAAAAAAGACCAGAGGGAAATACCGCTGAGGACAAAGAACGTGATGATTTGAGGCCTTAAATAAATGAAATACAAATAGTTGCAAACTAAAATAAATGATTTTTCACCCAACTAGTAGAAGTGTTTTGGGTTAACGAAAACTATTTATAGGTTAATGCAAACCCTTCAAAAAAAATTCAAACCTTTAAGGAATATTGTTTAAGGAATAATAAGGCGTTGTTTTTTAATACCCTTCATTTTTATTCATGTTAATGTATGTTATTGCTAACATTGCTAAGACGTTTTTGTAATAACTCCGAATGTTCTTTTCGCAGCTTATGATATTGTCATAAATTTAAATCGTAACATATCTACTTTGAGACTGCAGGGGAATAGTCTGTTTGTTTTTACACATTTATCTTGTCTCAAATCCACAAGTGGAATCGCTTTCGCTAACATCCTTGCTGATTAGCTGCCAAAATATTGATCATACGCACTGTGTACGTTTAATGAGACAGCCTTATTTTGTTTAGCTGATTTGGAGGCACTTCTAATGCGACTCAGAAAAAATAAAGAAGCAAATGAATTTCCACGGCATTATACTGTTACTTTTACCTTGGAACCAAAATACTTTTTTCCCCATTTGGCGCAATTTAACACACCCGAGAAAGATATCTACGTTGTGATAATTAAAAATAATTTTTTGCTTTATTGCTAACGTGGTTAGGATTAAACTAACTATGAAAAGAACCTTGCTGGTAAGAACTTGTGTCGTCGTTTTATATAAAGTTCTAACTGAAACTAACTTTTTAGTTGACAAAATAAAAGAGTGCGAATCCAACTAAGCGAAAAAGAATATATCGTTTGGGTTCTTCCCGGATGGCTAATTCCAAACTGTCCATAAAAAGAATCGCATTAAAATGCGCGGGAAGCGGGAAAACACTTTATGATGGATGCATTTCGTTTATGGCCGGTAACTTGAAACGAGGCGATTAAGCTCAGAATCGGGCCATTAAGCAAAGTGGCGTTGTAAAGGGCCGCCGAATCCCAGTCGAATCCCTCTTCCAGTTCCAGTTCCAGTTTCATTTGCAGTCGCAGTAAACGTCCCAACTGTCAGCCACATCCTTCGCCGTTTCCCAGGAAGGATGCCGGGATGCCGGGATGGCAGGACTCCTCCACCCAGGGGAGCAATCCGCAGCCTGGTCAAACTTTTCTAGTGTCAGGTCCGGTCCAGGCCGCAGGCCGCAAACAAACACATGCCTAATGAAGCGCACTCCGAGTCTGCCCTGCCCCCATTTTCCATCCACATCCCCATCTTCCATTCCCATTCACATCCCATTTCCCTCCCCTTTTCCCCATCCCTTTTTCCGGCACAGTGGGGTGGGTCAGGCCACGCCCGAAAAGTCAACTGTTGAGGCTTTAAACCTATCAATTTTATTTCTTTTAAATATTTACTTACTTCCCAATTTCATTTCGGTAAAGCCAGTAATAATTTTATTTTACTTATATCCAGGCTTTGTTTATCGTAATTTTTTTTGCTGCTTATACTGAAGGCTTCTCATAAATAACTTAATAACTCTATTACATGGATCACCTTTTTTATTAAATGGTTTTGACCTCATGGAGATGCTACTTCATTCTCCTATTGTGAAATCAATTAAAATTTTGTATTTAGGTAATATCCAATTTAAGGCACATAACATTACATTTTTAAATAATTGGTTCGCATTGCTTATATATTTTTTTTGCTCAGCTTAAAAGTGTCTTATTTGATTGAGAATCGGAAATAACTATTTGGCAAAATGTTCAAATAATGTCTTCGTTATTTTTCTCAGAAGTGCAAATTAGTTTCATAATTTGTAAGCTCAGTTGAATTGATTGTCAGCAAGTTATAATGCCCCACGAGTACACACACCATTACTGGTTTTTATTTGCCATTAGCTCTTAACTTTGGTAACTACAATGGAGAACAGGAAAACTTGAGGATATAAGTAAGGGTGGCGTGTTCAAGTAGAATGTTCGCCCCTATATTTTAAAAACTCAATGAGTTGTTCTGCACTTTCGCTGGGGGCGGATTGAATTTACACGGTTTCCATACTTGACGCCTTTTTTAGTTACACATGCAGAGGGCAGAAGGCAGAAGGCAGAAGGATGACCCCCTTTATGACTATATCGGTTGCAGCAATTTGCGGACCACTGTCGACCGACCACTCGCCCTCCCTTTTTGGCGTTGTTAGAGGGGGCCGCCTGTTAGAGGGCCCGCCGCCCATGTCCTCGTCCTGTCATCATGGCAGCCATTGTTATTGCACCCGGGGTTGTTGTTGCCAAGTTGGCAATACCCACTAATTTATGCGTATTCAAGTTTAAATTGCAAATGCGTGCTACGTGTGGGCCAGTTCCTGGGGGTCAAGTGGAGGGTGCACTAAAAAAAAATTAAAATACTACTTACTCAGATACCAATTAAATGTTTAGATTATAACGAACCGTTTTTTTTTTTTTTTTGAATTTATGCTTGGCTTACCACTTAGAAATAATTTCTAAGAACTGCTTGAATAACTTGTTATTTATTTAAGTTAACTACTATATCAAGACTTTAATTTTCTCCAAGTTTCTTAAAATCGCAAATCGCACTTATTGAGAAACCCAATACCCTTCCTTTGTGCGAAATCTTTAACGAATAATTAATAAATCATTTTTATTTCTAGGTTTTATTTTTCGATGTGTGGTTGCCTAAAGGCTGAAGCCCTCAAAACGTTGACGTTGACCAAATTGGGCATTTTGTTCAATGGTTGGTGGATGGGGGGAGTGCAGGGTGGTGGGTGGTGGGTGGTTGGAAGTGGGTGGCGTAGCTGATGATGTGGTATACTCTGCAATCACGCACTCACAAACGCTCACAGACAAGCAGGGCCAAAATGCATTCCATGTTTATTGTATTGCATTTTGCTGTTTTCACTGTCGCCTTCAATGCACTGAAATTAGTTTTTAGATTTCCTAAAATTTAAAAATTAAATAAAAAATATTTTGTTAATTCTTTATTTTAACAATTGCTGCACTTTGAACAGTTCTTCACTTGTTTTAACTTTCCATCATATGTATTTCCTTTTTTTTTTTGAGGGGTAGCAAAGCGTTTTTGCAGTGCATCGTTAGCATGCACGCAGTAGTTAGCCACGCCCCTTCGCCCACTTTTTGCAACCCTTTTGACCTCCCACGATTTCCCACCATTTAAATGCAAATGCACTGGACATGTCTCCCTATATCTCGCAGTGTTTCTGCTTCTCTTTCTCTTTCTCTCTCTCTCTCTTATTCTGTCTCTGTTTCTGCTCTTTGTTCTGTCATATGTCCGCCCTTTGTTTTCCGCGTTGGCTCCTGTTTTTCTTCTTTTCGTGGCAACATGCCTCTTCACTCTTTTACTGCCACTTCACTTAACGAAATTTTTTGGCTCACTTGAACAAAAAAAAAAAAACAAGTTTTAAAGAGATAAAAGTGTTTATTGATCAGCACTACCTCATAGCTTAACTTTAAATTATCGGTTGTCTATGTTAACTGGATTGTTATCTATATAAATTAGATTTTCTTTGGAAATTGTAATCATTTGTTATAACTTCGTATTGGTAAATATCTTATTATTTTAATATTATTTTAAAAAAAAATTATTCTTCAATTCCTCACAATCCAGCATATACTTGTATCCTTTTCCGCAGTGCTTTGCTTTGAGGATATTTTTCTCTGTTTTCCTTTGCTGCTGCTTTACTTCCCGCTCCCTCCTCCTCTCTTTTTCCTCCCTTTTGACGTAATTACATAGCCTAATTGTTGCTGCTGCCATTGTAGCTGTTGGCAGTGTCCGTTACTAACAATAAGTGCTGCCTTTCGGCCTGCATCGAAATGAGCCGAGTTAAGCACTTGAACTGCAATTTGCCAATGTTGCATGTGGCTTAACCCCACGACGCCCTCACCGCATTTTAATTGTTGCCAGATTTTCACTTGGCAAACAATACGTCAGGCTTATCAATTTGACCCGCCTGCTCGGCAACTGCAGGGGAATCAATTTTTAATTTACATCAATTAAAAGGAAAGAGGGAACTATGCTTTTAACAAGTGAATATCATAAGCAGTTTTACTGTAAACGTTGAATAAAATTAAATTGAATAAAATAAAAAATTATATATTTATAAATTTACTAAGAACCTTGTTAAATTTGGAAATAAATTTAAAATAAAATCACTTATTATAACTGATCACATAAACATTATAAAGAATACAAAGCACTGATTTCAGTTAAAAACAAACATTTATTTTCAATAACAAAAAGATCCGTTTTGGATTTCCCAAAAAGTTTGTTTTCGTTCGAAAAAAGGTAATTTGATTGGTTGACATTTAATTTAACTTTTTTAGACCATCAATAACATTTAAAAAGGAGCAGGCTGAATAGTAGCAAGTTTCTTGAAAATATAGGGCACGATCCATTTTTCATCGGGTTGATTTCCCCCGCAGTTCCCGCTCTGATCTATTTAGCAACGGCCCAAATTGTTTTCCCTCCCATCCACAATAAATACCAGAAACTGTCAAACTGCTGTCGTTGCTGTAAAATGTTAAACATGAAATCCAAAACAAGCCCACAGCAACAAGGATGTGCGACAACAACCAACCACGCCGGTGTGACATATGAGTGCCGCTGTCAAACGTCGTCGAAGCTGGAAGATTTATGTGCCTCTAGCTCGGCGGGATGCCAGCCCAGCCAGCCCAGCCATCCCAGCCAGTCCAACCAGTCAGCCATCCGAGAGCCACGTGTCCCGGCTCCAATCATAAAAATAAAAATATACAAATAAGAAACGGAAACGGAAACGGAAACGGAAGGGGTAAATCGAAAGGGAAGGGAAAAAGGGAACGGGAAAGGGAAAGGGGAAAGGGGAAAGGGGATTCGAGGGATAATTGGATCGGTTCCGTTTTGCCGATTCACCGGGAAAGCGCTAATGAAAACTCCAAAGCAACGAAAGTGTTAAGATTTCAAGGAGATGTTGTCTTTCTTTCGCTGGCCTTATTTCCCTGCTCGCTTTATTGTTCTTGCCATCGAATAAAACACATGGTGCTGTGTGATTGATGCGAGATGTCCTTTGACAGGACTCGCACTCGCACTCGCTCGCAAATCCATTCCCCCGGCCCACCACCAATCCCTTGTTCCTCGTTCCGACCAAAAGGACGCTTCATCAATGCGACAATGTCCTGACAGTTGCTCCGACAGTCGCAAGTGCAAGACAAACAAGCTGCACTTCTCACCGAACTGCGTCTCCCTTCCCTCACCATCGACCCCCTCCCTCACCTCTCCTTACTTTTCCAGCTGCCCCGCCCCCTGCTTTTCACCGCCCCCCGCCCGCACTTTTCACCACACGCATGAGAAACATATGCAAATGCAGGCCACTGTGGTCAAATGGTTCGCAATTCTGAGGGGAACTTTCATTCAAATGAGATTTAAAACTTTGAAACTCGTCTTCTTTGCTAGAAGAATAAATAAAAAATAGGGAACATAAAATTTAAAAGAATTTTTATATATGTATATTGGCAACAAATGCGTATGCTTGATTGAATAAGTACATTTCACTTTATATTAATTTAATTGAATAGTTATTATATGTTTAGTCGTTACATTATATTTATCTTGTAATTTGAATAAATATAAAGCACTTAAGCTACTCTCGAAAAGTTTTTAAATTTGATAACAATTAAATAAATGTTTATATATATGAAGTTAGTTAACATGTTTTAATAATTTATTTGGGCTTAATGTTTATTGGAATCTTATCTTCTTTTGTTTGAAAAGCAGCTACTTTTGAAAATACCTACAAAGCATATGGAGATTCCTCTCACCAATACCAACTATCAATAACCCAACACCACTGTGCACGCATCGAAGGAGCTGAGATCTGGGCGGGATGTGGGCAAACATGTGCCCTGTCAATATGCCAAGAACCGAATGCAGCTGGTAAAATAAAAAGCCTCCTCCTTCCACCTTCCACTTTCCGCCTTCCGCCTTCCATTTTCCACCATGTTCCACCAACGATGTTCGCCATCTGGGGCACCTCTGAGGCTCCTCCTGCCGGGCGGGAAATCCATTCCCCAGAGTCCGCTCTCACGGCCGAAATAATTATCGATGCTAGCATCTACCTCCGACCAGAGTCATATTTCAGCCATCTGCAATCTCAACATTTTCGCAGCCAATTTCAAAAATTGAATGTTCAAGCGGGCCTCCTGTTCAGTGGGCATAAATTTGCGGCTCCGCCGGCAATCAAAACAGGCTCTAAAACCATGAGCAGGACCTGCTGTTGGCTTTGATTAATAGCCAGGCCCATAAATCCGTCGCAGGGATGGTCGGCGATGGTCGGTGGCCAGGTAAGTAACTTGCATAAGTTAGGCACACGGCCAACGGTCAACGGGTCGGCTACTTGTTATGGCCGCACGCTAATGAGAGGAAAGTGCTGTGAAGCGTCGGTAAAGTCGGTTGGGGGATGGAAGGGGGCGGGGGATGAGGAAGGGGGAGGCTGTCCGGTTTCCGTTCCCGGGGACAGGATGTCTGTCATGTCAGTGGCTCGGCGGCGCCTGTCATTTTTCAGACTTTGCCCGCCAAGCGAAAAAAACAAATGACACTAATAAGTTGAGCGTGCCCAAAAACAGCGGGAGTTGGCCAAAATGCGACGAACGGGGGGAAAGTGGGGAGTACACTTAGAATGACGGCCAGCAAATCGACTCACAAGTCCAAAGCACTTTGCATTCTTAAGGCAATCGTAACTCATCAGTTTTGAATTTGGTAGGCCGTTCCAACTCCAAGCGAATCTATTGAAGAAGATAAATCACATCACATCGAAATTTAAATAACAACTGGCTTTAATTGAGCAACATATTTTGTATAGTCCTCTTTTTTAGAAAATCTTTATCAGACTTGAGAGTCTGACTTAAGCTGTAGAAAAAGTTACTGTATTGAATCCTCTCAGAAATCCTTTACTTAAAAAGTTCACAGTCCACAGTATTCATGCAAATTGTTAATTGTTAAATTAAAATCAAAATAATAAATTGTTATTTGAAACTGAACTAAAAAGGTCTTTTAAAATAAAAACCACGCCGTGCAGGATTAACTCATTATTTTGATATTGCTATAGCATAAATTAAAACAAAAAAGTTTAACCAAAAAAAATTAAAACATTTTTCCTTGACTTTGAAATTCAATTTTAAAATAGTGCACTAAATATCTCGTTTACAAGAGGCAAACATACACATATTTTCCCACAGATATACTCAATTAAACTAAATACTTTTCGAAACTCAACCTCCTTTTTTTTGAGTGAACAAAAGCCAGTTTGACAGCAAAATATTTTCCAATTACCAAAGAAATATCCCCATTCATGTGCTCGATAAAAGGCAATTAAAAATGACTTATGCCATTGTTTTGGCTTCTGCCGGTCGAACGCTCAAAGTTTTATGGGGTCAGACATGGGGTACCTCCCCCTCCCCCCTTTCCATTGCCTCCAACATGTGTGTGCAATGGGAAAAGTTTTGTGTTGGAAACTTCCTGCTCGAATGAAATTTAGCCAAATGCAAAATGAATACAAAATGTGCCACTATGGTACAAATGGTGGAGTAGCCGAGATTTCGGGAAGGAAAAGGGGTTTCCCAATTGAGAGGCTTATCAACAGCCACTCGCTAATCAAATAAAATCCATTTCAGCATCGAATAAAATCCGTTTCGGTAGCCAGAAAAAAAACCCGTTGCCAAATAAAATCCAACATCAAAGGCTTTTCCATACCGAAACGACTGGCCGCGAGGCATTAATTCTCTTTCACTCAGCGCTGGAAATTAAATCGGGCCACAAGTTAAATAGTCAACTCGCCAAAGGAATTTCATTAAACATATTTTTTATACCGACTAAAGGGGAGGAGGAAATTGAGGGGGGAGGTGAGGCGGGGAAAGTGGGAAAAGCGGGGAAATGAAATTGTTGCAGCCGAGGAAGGCAGGTGCCATAGTTGGACCATAAATACTCCACATACCCATAAAAACCCAACGCCATCGGCATGCAAAATGCATCGCACATCGGGGCAAAAGGGGGTGAAAGGGTGAAGAAAGGGTGGGGCAAAGGGGGTGAAAGCGTGGAGAAAGGGGGCGTCCTGCCATAAACATTTGCATTTGATGGCCCTAAAAGGAGCGGGAAGTGGAAAAGAGTTGACATAAAATAAAATAATATTCGCAATCAAACCCAGCCGAGGGCCCGCCATAAATTTTTAGCTGGGAATAGGGCAGCCAGCAAGGATAATGCATCCGAGGGAGGACACTAGCGGTCAGCAGAAATATCGAAGGCCCCTTACTCAAGTATTTCTATTAGCAGGGATCGCTTAGGATAAATATCAAGAGTATTGTGTGGCAAACTGCAAAGAGAAGGTAAGTTTATGAAATGTATTTCAGTCCCCAATTCTTTGAAAAAAATGTCTATATATTCTTTTATATATATATTTGTTTCGTTTTTATTTAAGCAAAAAGTTGTTACCTACAGTTATTAAAATCATTCATACATTTCAAGAAAACCGTTAAATGCAATTGTAATATTTTGTAATATATTTAAGAAGAACGCTTGTACCGGGTTATGATTCAAAGCGTGATCTTAAAATTACCAATCTATGTACTTTGCAGTAAAAAAATTATCTTAGTATTACATTTAAATCAAACATTTGGGTGCTACTATTTCGACTGCAGTCGTTTGTCATCTGTGCTGAATTGTAGGAAAGCGAAACATTAAATTTAAGACAACCAAACAGTTTGCAATTGCATCCCATAGCATAGTTTATATTATATCTTAATATAATTTAAAGTTCTGGAGAATCAAAATTAGAATTTAAAAAACATGAAAACCTTTGTATATGTACGTTTCATCTGTAAATACCTTAAATACGTACCTTAAATATGTACCTTAAATATATGTATGAAACCACTATCAGAAGTAGAATTGTATAAGAATAACTATAAAAATGAATTAATAGTCTACACACTTTACTATAAAGCTGATGTGGAGCAAAACCAAGTATTAACAATATCATTAGAAGAACAATTCAATTTTTTTCAATGTTTTTTTGTTTAAGCGTTGGTTTATTATATAGAAAATATACAGTAGAAAATATATACATCTCAAATCTTGATTCACATTTGTGGCATTGTTGGGAAGGGGACTACAGGAATTTCATTTGCACTGACCAATCGAACGAGGGAAGCCTGCTGGCGGAGGATTCCCTACCAGAAGTCACCCTGATCCCCGCCGCGTCCGCCCATGGCACCTCGTCCATGGACGCTCATGTCCATTCCGTTGTAGGCGCAGAAGGCTTCTCCATTATCGATGCACGACTCAAATCCGTGTCCCTGGGCGTGACCCTGGTCCTGAGTCGGACTTTGACTGAGATTCTGATTGAGATTCAGATTCTGGCTGAGATTCTGGGTCTGTTCCTGGTTCTGGTTGAGGTTGAGGTTCATGTTCTGGCTCTGGCCAAATCCAGGAAGTCTCGCCGTCTGCGGCTGGCCAAAAAAAGTTGCCGGCCATCGGGGAATAGCCGCCCATCGACCGGAAGTCGCCCATCGCCTGCGTCGCTGGCGTCGTCGGTGAAAGCATCCCTGGACTGGAGGAGGGTGGCGCCGCCGCCCGGAACCACTGGCCGCCTGAATAACCGTTCGCATTGGGGCTCATCGCATCGCCCATCTGCGGATAAACCGGCGAGGTCACCGGCTGACCGTTCCAGAAGGAGAACCCGTTCGACATCTCGCGTCGCCCTTTTGTCGGTTTTTGGTTTCTTAGCTAATTTCGAATCTGGAGTGTTGTCCCAAAAAATGGTTCACACAGCACAATTTTTGGAATTTTGAGAAATTTTACCGGGAAAATTTTGTTATAGATGTGATCGCCGCCGAATCTCGAAAGTGAGTGAGGATAGACGAGCCCAGACTGGGGAACTCGATTTGACAGTTGTTTAAATAGATCTCATGGATAGGTTGATGCCTACTTTTGCCAGGAAAACCAGAAAAACTCCTTTACTACAAAAAGAAAGTTTGAAAATATGGTTAAAAACCGTCTACAGTAGTAGCTGCCAATAAGAATTATAGGTATATACATATTATAAGAAACACTATCACTTTTTTTATCGCTTATAAAATGATTAATTCGAGCTTATAAATAAATAAATTGAAATTTAATCGTTTTTTAACCCCTTGATATTGTGATAAAATGATATTTAAGAGGTAATTGAAGATTCATTCCAGATTAAGGTAGGGTGTTGTTGTTTAAACCTCTTTGTTTAAAAATAATTGGTTTACTTTTATGAATGGAATACATCCCATTAATTTGAATAAATATTTTTTTCTGTTTTAATACAAAAAAAATCTAAAAAAACTATTTTTAAGACTAATTAACACTACCCCCTATCTTTTTATTTTCTACAATCATATTCTTTCTCAATAAACAAATGTATTTCTGTAATGGACAGCCGTTCAGTATTGCACATAGTTAAACACCTTGAAGGTTTTTAATGCCCGATTAACTCTTTTGTTCAACTGCCCCTAACACTTTTCTAATTTAGACATTTTTCTTTTGCTACTTCGAGGGAAAGTTGCTTTTTTGGGACACTGTTGCCTACTTTTAAGGGCACTTTTCTGTGAAAGGCAAATTATCTACTTGTGAAGGCGATTTTAATTGACAGTTAAGGTCCCGTTTTCTGTTGCGTTCTCTTTTCTTTTGCTTTTCTCTATGTAATTCCCAGTGGCTCCTTGGACAGCAGATAGCAGGCATCGCAATCTGGATTTAAGCCCCGAGTCCTCGTCTTTTTTTTCCGCTTCCATCAATCGCTGGCACCAACTGAGAATGTTAATTAGCAGCTGACCGAGCATTTGGTTGTCCAACCCCCTCAAACTCCCCCAAAGCCCCCCTTAAGTCCCGGTGCCCCGCCCCCCGCCGATGGCAGTCAATTAGCCGACATCAATAGACACGCCCATCGACAGGATTCCGCCCACTTTTGGTGCCCAGGATCATTCGCCTGCTGTTGCGTGCATTTAATGCGCATTAATTGCGCATAATTAAATTTTCTACAATTTTATTATGCACTTTACATGGCAAATGCTCAACATTAAAACCAGATTAAAGTGGCCGAGTTAATGGCATACTGATAGTTTCGCTTCTAGTTTTCCTTTTTTTTCGGCATCTTTGCCATGCTGGGAAAACCAGCTTTTTAATGAATAATTTGTAACGATAAAAGTCCCTCGAATGCCATATTTATTTTGTTTTTCTCATTTTCTCGGCCATAATTTTCCGTCGTTCTCTTTGTATCTGTCATTTAACAGAAAATCGTGTCAGTTGCGCTGTCATTGTTGTCAATATTATTATTATTATTATTATCGCTTTTGTTGGCCGCCGTTCTCTTCCTTTTCATGTTTGCCAGTTAAATTTCTGAATGAATATTTAATTTCATTTTAATGCGGTTTAAATGCCGCAAAACTGACTAACACGCACAAGTGTGTGTGCTGTCGCGTAAAGTCCGTTTCAAGGCTGTAAGCCCATAAATTTGCAAAAAAAAGTACTCGATGCTCCAGAAAGAAAAATTAATGTAAAGCTTAAAAAAGCTTTTGGCCGATATAAACAAAGAAAATGTTATTAGTTTACTAGTTTGTTGAATTTTTAGCGTGTAAATATCAGCTTGAGTTTTCTTTCAGTAATTCCGCACTGTTAAACCTCTCATTACAAACGTATATTTTCTGTATTTAATCTGCTTCTCACCAACTAATCCTATTTAATAAGCTCCATAATCAAATAAGAATCCAAAATAAACACACCCGCAGAGGGCATGTTTATTTAAGTTGAATAAAGAAAATCGAATAACAATTTATATTCTAACTTATTCGTCATTCAAATAACAATTCTTAACAAAAATGATTATTCAAATTGCCACATTTTGTGCTAAATAAATTAAATAAATTAAAAACTAAACTAAAATAATTTATACAATTGGTACTTGATTATAATTATTTGGTGCTAAAAGAAAGACGGATTTTCTTGCTTAATTGTGTTGCATTAAAATTAAAAAAAAAACGAATTAAAATATTATTTAATTTTGGGAAGTATTTAAAGTAATAATTTTTGATAACTTTCTCATTGAAATTCGTCCTTATAATTTTGAATACTTTAAAATGCTATAGGCTAAAATATTTCATGAAATGAATGACAAAATTTATAGCATGCGAGAAAGGCGACAGTAATTCGGGTTCAGGGAAATTCTCTCTGCTCAACATTTTCGCTGGCGGCGAGGAAATATCCCAGGCGCAGGATATTTCCTTTTCGGTTTCCTAATGCGATGCCTAGAACTTCTGGGGGATGAGGGGCTGATTCGAGAGGGGGAGGGGGTGTTCGAGGGGTCTGAGGAGGAAAACGCTGCTGTTGCGTTGAAGCTGTTCCAGCGTTTCACGCATATTTTTGGCGCCGGTAAAATGTTCCGCCAACTCTTTGTGCACCAAGAAAAATCATACAATGTGGCAGCCACCTAACAAGTATTTTGTCATTCTTTTTCAAAAAGTATTATAATTTTAAATATAAAATCTAAAATTTATTCTAAAATTAAATAATCTGACATGCCATTGTAACTATTATGAAAAAAATACACACCACTTTTTACTATTATTATAAAAGTTTTCCTAATTAATGCATACAAATTTGTAAACTATTAAATTTAATATATCAATTGTAGACAAAATGTTCACAGACACGCCTAAAAAAATAGAAAATATGTTTTGATATATATTTGTTAGATCCGTATATGATTTAGAATTTTCTTTTTTTATTTTGTATTATTACTTTCGCACGACCTCTATATCCTTTATATTCACTACATATTTCTTACTGTGTATTTAGGAGTGACAGAGTTGTCTCTCTGGGGCGCCGGAATGGATTCCTTGGCGAACGAACGAGTTGAGCTTGTGTTCGCTTGGCTAATTAAACATTTGACAATTATTAATACATTTCAAATGGTTGCAGTGAGAACGAAAAAAGAACTGAGCAAATATTTAACAGCTGCTCAACGCACGCACACATGTTCATGTGCACCCACCCACACATGTGGAGTGCGTACCGTCCCCCCAACACCACCCACCACCCACAACCCATCACCCATCACCCACCGCCCCCCTCAGTGCCAAGTGGGTCGACGCCTTCCGAGTGTTTGCTGCTGCGTCATTAAAAGCGCTGCCGCCGCCAGTCGCCTTTTATTTCCAAAAGCGGGAAACGGAGGTGGATCACTGAAAGAAGCGCGATTTACTCATCAATTCTTAATTATATGATGGATTTTATTTACGATTTCCAAAATAATTATAAAAGAAATGGAAACTGATTGTTTTTATAGCAGAAATGTAGTGTATCGTTCGACTTTTACGAAACTAAAAAGACAACACTGCAAACGTGTAAAATTACCTTACTTTTAATTGCATAAATGAATATACTAAAGGTATATAACTTTAGCATGGACAACCGCAATATATATTTTTTTTAATTGATGGTCTGTAAAAATGATTGTTACCAGGTTATCAAGTTACGGACTAAAATTAAGAAAATTTTATTGAAAACAAATAGAAATATATTAAAAAAGTTTGTTTAATAATAAAATAACTATTTTAGACATACATTTATTTCTGTTGTCCATCAGGGAAGTTATTTCATTAAATACATTTTTTAAAACATATTTTACATATGTTTTTTCCAAAACTTTTGAAAAGACAGTTGATGCATACCTTCTTTTAAAGCATTTATTTATATGAAAATATACGTTTTCATTACTTTAAAGTAATATTAAATAAAAACTCAAGGTAATTACAAATGCAATATTTAGAATGTAAGATTCTTATTAAAAATCATTAACAAAATTTCTAAAACTTGATTCCAGTGTAGACACGAAAAGAGGTAAGTAAAACGAGACGAAGATAGAAGGATGACGGCTTTTCACTTTTGTTATATTTTTATCACACTCTTATTTGTTGTAGCCGCCATTTTAATTGCTGTTGTTGGTTCTGTTTCTTATTATTATTATGCTAGCCTTGCCTCCTCCACTTTATCACCATCTTATGCTGTCTTTCGTCCCAGTTGCCTGGCACAAATCTCTCGGCCAACGAGGCGTATGAATAACAATCCTTCGCTAAATTCCACGGCTTACTCTCATTTCACAGCTCACATTTTAAAACGTGAAAAAACAGACACACACAAATTTCTAACCAATAAAAATATAAGGTTATATAAAAAACCTTTAAAAATGTATCCTTAAATCTAAAAACTACAACCCCCTTTATTGCTGTTTTAATACCTTATCATTCATTTTATAAATTCTTAAATAAAAATAAAAATACAATTCTTTACAAATAGTTCACAAAGGTTTTTGCTGTATCAACTCATTCACTAAAAATAATGGCCTCGGCGAACCATTATTTAAATTCCTATGTATACGAATTGCTTTCATATTTGTCCGTATTTACGGCTTTAATTTTCATAATGCTTTCCGAATAATCACAAACATTGTTTTTCAATTCGACATGCAGTTTTGTTTGGCCATTAGCAATTTAAAATGAAATTCGTATAGATTGAAAGTTAAGCCATACATTTACCCTGTAAAAGGCATATAAATAATTATTATTTATCTGTAATCTTTATTGATTAATTCATTGAAGTGCACAATTTATGGAAACATATTTGCCAATAACTTTAATACAGAGATTTAATTGTGTGCATGTTTTGGATACATTTTAAGTTACGTAAATGTTTATTTATGTTTAAAGTAATAAAGTTACTTCTATTGCAAATGTTCTTGGTTAACACAGATCTATTTTGATATGACTGAATGTATAATTTTAAATGCTTTGCTTCACATGGCTTTGTGGTTTCTTAATGGCAATCTAAAA